TATAATTTGTAGTTACTTGTCACTTTTGTTATTATTAATTATATAATTGGGTTATAGAATGGTTGTTGGAAAGTAGTTGCTCGAAAATTAGACTAAGATGTTTAATGTGTATGCAAATTAATAACTATCTCTGAATTCTAATTTAATTTCCAGTTATTTTTATTTCCCTATTCACATTCATTTCTCCGATAACTTAGTTACTGATTCGTAGAAAGGAATGTATCCATTTTGCTAGTAATTACAAATACCGATCATTTACTAAGGTAGCTTTTTGGAACAACTTGTAATTTGAAAGCCATATTTAACACAAGCTGATATCAGCTGAAGAACTAACTCATTGGTATCAATGGCTCTAAAGCTGATTTCATCTCGTAATGAAAATTACCGTTAAGTCATACAAGGTTTCTACTACCTATAGAAACAAAAAAAACATCTAAATTTCTATCCTAATTAAAACTGTAAGTGAACTCGAGAGATAAATAGTAAACTGTAACTGAATAACTAGTCAATGCTATGTAGATTCCAATAGTCCCATAATTTTATGAAGCAAAATACTTTCATTTAATACAATAAGTCATTTACCTGCTACCAGTTGACTTTTATTTTGTATTAAATTTCAGTCATATGGTTTTGAAATGAGTGAGAAAAGTTGCAGCTCAGACGGATGTCCTTTAGTGATGTACTCTCTGAACTGACTGATCGGTTTTAAAGCTTTCAATGTCGTTCTGGTTAACATTGTGATTGTCTATTACGTGTAATGTTATCCTGAACAGAAATTGTGCTAGCTGCGATAAATGTTACTCTGAATAAAGCAGACAGCTCATCTGATTATAGATACACGAAAATCCGCTTAGAGTGAAGCGACAGATATATTATTACTGGTATGGGTGCAACTTAGATAACAATGGTCATTTTGAAATTCTGGATAGCGACAACTATAAGAGTGTTAATGCATTCTTAGAAGTATGATATTAAGATCAGTCAGGGATTCAATAGATATATCAATACAGATCCAGTCTATCAACACACACATAAAATGTTAGTCAGTCAAATCGTCTGAGGTCAACCGAACACGACGGCCGACAGGAATCTAAAGATAAATAAAGACAACAAAACGTACTAAAACACCCACGCACTAACAAATCCATGAGAACGAACTAATTTAACACTTGTGAAATAACTTAAAAGCTTACTTGTATGGACTGACATGGTTGTTCGGAATAACAACAAAAACTTTATAGTTATCCATTTCACTCAAAAACTACAACGCCATCAGGGGTAAATTTCACGTTTATAGTTATTGTCCTTTGTATATATGTTTTAGATGACGTAATAACTGTTGTTCGCTCTAGCTTTAGTCACAGTATTCCTATTACGAATTAAAACACTAAAATTTCTAATTTATTTAATCAGTCAATTGTTTTAGTATGAAAATTAGACATTAACTTCAAGGTTATTAAAAGTTTATTCAAAATTTACTCTTTAAACAATAATTTCGCTTAACTTGTATGTGGACTGTTTTTTTAAGTAGTTAGTTCATATCATTGAATTACTTTTTGTAATCAATATGTAAAACTTTCAGGATTCCCGTTGTTGATATTCATGACAGCAATAGATCAGTCACTATTGGAATATGTACATTCGGAGCTGACTGTCTTTATGGTGCCTTAAAGGCTACGAATTTGTGTTGACAGGTTTGAAATTAAAAGTAGTGTTTAGGGCTTACCACTGTGGCATAACGAAAAACGCGTCGGCATTTGAGGCTGCATTCAAAAGTGAATATCAACACTGTATGAAGGTATATCCAGCTGACGGGTTTCAAACAGAGTAAAAATTCAAGTCCTGGATCTCACTGTTAGCCATAAACCAAATAGTTTTTATAAATTTTAAAGTTAACAAACATTTTAAATGTTTCACACAGGTTTATAGTTATTGGTCAGAAATCCATTTTATTCATCAATTAATAGTACTGTTTGTTATATAACATCTATCGGAATCATCCGCTGATCAATGTTAGACCACCACTGAAGACCTTGAAGCACTGGAAGCCGTTACCAGTGGAGCTCAGTCGTATTGGGTTTGAGGCAGTTATTCACCGAGGAAACAGAAGATGGTTGCACGATATTGCGGATTGATTGAAGTAAGACTTTGACAACGTTGGATGCCGGTTCAGTGGTCTAGAGGTTAGGTGTTCGCGCGCGAGGCTAGAGGTCCTGGGTTCAAGTCCCGCTTGCGGGATCGTGGAGTGCACTCCTGAGGAGACCCATACTATAACGAAGTGGCGATTTAGTACTTCCAGTTTTCTAGTACAGGTCTAACATTATTTGGTTCATAATTTCATCGAAATTTAACGATCTCTACAACTCCGAACTGAAAATTTGCAAGACTTTCATTGATTCTCATACATAGTTTCACAATGTTTGGCTATAAAACAGTGATATTATCTCTTAGGTAGGATTGCTTCACAACTCCCCCTGTAGCTCTTATAGGGATAATGCCGGTCCCAAGCCCAGGTAAAAGTTGAGGGTTGGGTGTAAGGTCAGCATCTCCAACCTTGCTAAAAAACGCTAACCAGGATTGCTTCACAGAAAGAGTGGAAACACCATTTGTTTTCTGAAACAACATATTAATTTTACAAAAACCGTTTATACGTTTCATTATGAAATATCCTTATAACTTACCATGCTGTAATTAACCTGCTGAGCAAAACACATTGCAAAGAAATGGTTGTTGTGTCTTTTAAATAAATCAAGCTAGACACACGTCTTAGTATATGGTGACTTCGTACAAGTTTACTGTTCGATGGCTTGAGTGTAAAGTGGGACGGAAAAATTAGACAGCCTGTTAGGATTATTCAACCACTCAGTGTATGGACAAAACTTATAAAAGGTTTAGACAATTCTCTTCAGACGATGATTATGTTTATAAATTATTGATTCGTGACCAATATCATTCTTTTATTATTTTGTCCTGACAGAAGTTTATCAGCTATTGCGTAATAAATAAATAAGTTTGTTGTCTATATCTCACTGAAGATAAATTACCAAAATAACATGGCAACAGGATTTCTTGGTTATTAGTTAATAAATAAAGTCAGACACATAATATCATTCAGATTAAGTTTTAATAATCGGTGTGTCACAGTATTTATTAGTTAGGACATAGTGTTTAATGATTCAATGACTCAGTATATATTTCAATCAAGTCTAAAATCTACTTATCTATTATTTATCCTCAGTACAATATGGAGGTAATATTCACTTATGTATATATTCACTAATATATAATAAATAAAAAAATTCATGGAACACATTGATCATTTAATGTTTAGGCAATTTATTTAAAAATCTAAAAATTAAGGTAACAGCATAACATATGTAAGCTTCCTAATAAATTCATTTAAGTGGTATTATTTATTGATTTATTATTTCTGGTTGTCCCATCAATGAGACATAAATATTGATTAAGTTAACTTTTCACATAATGGGACGTTTTCTTAATGTCTGTTGTTTGGATTTAGATATTTTGTTATTATGACAGTGTGCGATTAGCCACTAAACATCTTTATATTCTTTAACACCGTATGAGATGGTGCTATTTTCATATGACTTTTCGAGGAATGATCTTCTTCTTGAGGAATTTGTTATCCACCTTAGACTACATGGATGGTATTGTTATGTTTGGCGAAGATACTTGGAAAATTAAATTCCTTCTGTACACTTTTAGTGACAATGCACTAGGTCTGGTATGTATTGTTCGCTAATTTGACCATGGGGATTGAAGTAATGTGCTGACCACTTCAGTTATCTCGGTAATTTTAACATCCCTAATAAATTGATGGCCGAGTAGATTACGCAAAAAGTCTGTTTAATTTCTGCTAATGCACGTCAACTGTGATGCATGAGAGATGCTTATCTCATCTTCAGAGAGCAAACATACTCTAAAGGAGTCTTGTCCTTATTAGCTAGTCTCTGTTTAATATGGATTATACAGGTAGAAGACGTATGGAGTTTGTAAGTATCTAATCATAGATACGTTCTAAGTTTTGCTCTAGTTTGTGAAGCCCAATGAACAGAGTCAATCGTAGCACATGTGATAGAACTTAGTGCAGATCGAATCCTGTCTGTCAAGAAGGACCTGATATACATGAAATTGACTACTACCTAGTGACCAATCAAATCTCAGTCCTACAGAGGTCAGTCGCGACCCGGATAGCTCAGTTGTAACGTCTCTGACTGTTAAACAAGATTACATGAGGTCGAATCCGTCAGGAGCATCAGTTCCTTCAAAATTACAGGTACACCTCGCTAGTGTGTACCAAATAGTACGAGACCTAGGCGTAGGGTATCGACTATCTCCAGCCACCAACTTACATAGAACTAGTTAGATTCTTCTCATTATTTCAAGTAAACTAAGCTATTGGTTCAAATCAAACGAATTATCGCCCTCCAATACTTGACATTTAGTTGTCAACCAAACAGACAAAAGTAGACAAAATTATCACTCTTTTTAATTAGGCCTTAAATTCTCTTTTATTACCTTATCCTTGAACTAATCAAGTAAAATTACTAAAATATGTTGTATTTGCTTTTACATTTTATGCGAAGCTCGACATTCATATTCTTTCTAACTTAAAAACCAGTCACGAGTTACATACAAGTTTGTCGTTCGTTTTCATAATTAATACTCATTAGCAAGTATTGGGATTCTATTTTGTGACCCCTCCCTTGCGAAATAAACTGAGGTGTAAATGACAAAAAACGTTTGTAGCGTCTTCATTGGTTAACAAAGTGAAGGAATGAAGTTATAACGCTTCACTTAACCAATCAACTATTGATATATATTATTGCTAAAGTACTTAAAAATAAGCTTAATTCCGATTGGTCAGTTGGAGAAGAACATGAAGAAGGACATAATGAGCTACTTCATGATAATGTGGATGGGAAACTTATGACGAATTATATTCCAGAATATTTAAATAATAGTTACAATCTCTTCATATGCTACATTCATATCTAACTGATATAGGTACTCGTAACCCATCGATTACCTCTAAATTATGGCCTTCATATAATCTAGAAACTGCTAGTACTGTAAATTTTCATAGCTCTCCCGACAATAATAGTAACACTTTAAGAATAATTAATCCAGAAGGTTTTCCAATGAATCGTGCAAGATTTCTGACTACATATGAAGAATCACAGAATAATTTAGAAACTTATTTAACAGACAGTAGTAGTGATAATAATGGTACGTATATTAGACCATTTGACCTGTGCTCTCGTTCAATCCCGATCTATTTTCCTACATTCAATAATTATCAGTCGTCCGAGAACATAGAACTTGAAACAAATCCAGCGAACGCAAAACCTATCAACCAATTTCCAGACTATTCTCACATACTAATAAACAAACATGTCCATGGTACTGCTACTAATAATGCTAGCAATGATTGTGACTGTAATAAAGTGGATGAAATACAAAATTCACAAATAAAATCTAGTTTTTTTGATGCGGGATTAAATTTAACTACAAATGGATATCAACAACAAGGATTAAATAAATCGATAACTGAAAGTAATTCTTATCTGAAACAAAATAACAGCGATATTCTTAATACAAATGCTAAATGTGAATCAGAAACACCAACTGCTAGTTTAAAATATCCTTTATGTGTTCCACATCCATCAGAATTACCAATAGAACATTTTAACTCTTTTAAAAAATTCACCGAAATGACAATAAAATCAACGGAATCAAACCAGTCGTTAACAACAAATCTTCCAACAAGCTATCGACTTCAAGGATATCCTATTCATCAAACAAGAAATGATTTTTTGAATCCCTATACAAACAACTTTAATTTATCGAATCCAACGTCAAATCATACGTTATTTAATGATATATCCTCTTTTATTTATGATAATCAGTTATATAATTCGTCCTTAAACCATACACTTCCTTATCAACACAATTTGCACCTACAACATCAGTTACAACAAGAGAATGCTCCAAGAGAACAAAGTCATCAGAAGCAAACTAAACGAAATGATCCAAATAAGTTTTCAATAACTACAAATCAGTCAGAAGGAAATGTTCAAGACAGTTCAGTAAAACCACCATACTCATATATCGCGTTGATAGCAATGGCCATTTCATCCCAATATGATGGGAAAGCAACACTAAATGGAATTTATCGTTATATCATGGATAAGTAAGTTGACTTGTTTTATAAATTGTGACATAAAACTTCATTCATCTCTTATTCTACGGTGACAATTCTTTTGTATTTATTTGATAAATATTCCACAGGATTGAAGATTTATAGGGACTTTTCCATGTAAATATATTTTTACATTATGAACTGACTTTACTATGGTTTACTGGACAACTGTTTTCATTTATTTCGAGATACCTTATTAGTGTGTACCAACTGCCACCTCAAAGCTCGAATCCAGAACTTTGAAATTCGTAGGTAGTGAGTTATCACACAATGCTTTACACTTCCAGCTTCAATCACTTCATGATAATGCCTTACTTCCAGTATGGTTTAACTGTTGGTGAGAGATTCACAGTAAAATTTAGCTAGTTCATCTATAAGCCAATCATTAGAGAGTAGTGATTTGTGATCAGCATGAAATTTTTATTCATCTTCAAAACTTTTACAAACTAAATAAGGTAAATTTTAAAACGTTCGTCAGTGTGTCACTTATAAGTTTCGGAGAGATTACTTCAAGTAATTTACAGACTAATGATAGCCTTTGCTAAAGACTGACTAATTGAAGACCAGAGAAAACATGATGTGTTTGTTATTCCTCATTAATGAATCCTGACTGAAATGAAATCCAAGAATTTAGGTCTCATGACAAATACAATTCTGTTCATTTTTCATGTTTATCAGCCACTGTTCATAACTTCAAATTGAAATTGTGGACGTCACAGGTTGAGCAGTCAGAAAGATTGTTAATCTTTTTTTAAAAGTTCATGATACTCAATGACAAATATGAAACTTGAGTGTAAGACTATCTTATTGTAACTTTTCAATTGTCTATAATTCAATTAGTTAATAGCTACGATAGTGTTGTAGTGAATTTCAGCATTAGCTTTGTGGTTCAATTCATGTATATCTGTCTGTATGGTAAGGAGTTAGCTATATTTTGATATGGCAGTGATTAATTATTAAACTTTGATTATGTACATCGAAAATTAACTTGTACGTCATGGAATCTGATCGTTGTTTTAATAAAATCATATGCAATATGAGTCATTAATACTGACATGATCCAAAAATATATAAAGGAGAACTAACCTTGCATTTCAATTTCATATAATAATGAATTACCTTATTGTTTATGAAACGCTGATGATAAATCTTTGACACGTAAACATTTTTGTAAATTGATTATTCGTTGATCTCGAATTTTCATGATAACATCCGTTATCATTGAAGGCTTCGTTTAAAGTAAAGCTTTACAAAGAACCTGTAAAAAGCGATAAAGCTAAGAAAATAAACATTAATCTTTCTTATTAGCACAGAGAGTTATGGAGATTTTTTGATTTTGTAATATACTGTCACAGACGGATTTTCGTTGGACAACTAGTGGAAACCAGGAGGCTCTGAACAAACCATTTGTCCTATTACGGGAATTTTCGGGAGTGTACCTCCGTGACCCCATTCATGTCAGGACCTGAGGCCTCTTACGGTGACTGCTTAATCTTCAAACAAAAATTGTTTTGTCGTGAAGAAAAAAGTAAGGTAAATAGACTGAATCGTTTTAGTGGAATTTATTTCATCATGAATCAATACCAATTGAAAGATCATTAAATACAGTGGAGCATTAGACAGTTGTTAGTCTTAGTTTAGGATTAATTCATTTGAAACGTTTACCAAAAAATACATTTATTTAACAATAATTTAATGCTCATCGTTTTTATCGTTACAAACCATAGCCTGAACATCCTATGTACAAAAAGTAACTGAAGTAGCTTTGTAATTGTTTGTTTCAAAGGGTTCTAGTTCTCAGTATATCTAATACTATCTGAAATAGTAAGATGGATCCCAAGTGTTTGTTAATGACAGGTACATCATTTTGTTTAAGTATGTTGACAAAAAACTCACCGAATATGCAGTCGTTTAACTTCACACTTAATTTGTTATATTTTCGAATTGTGACACATCTTAAAGATGCGTTTTTTTAGGAAACATTTTTTTTCGATGAATGATTGAAACATGTTACTGATGGAATTTCATAGTCTATATATTAGTCATCTACACCTGTGGAGTACAATCAGCTTAGCAACATATAATCTTCGTTGGAAAACTTACTTTTTCACATTTGGATTAATTGAAAAGTAGAGTAACAAGTGTTGAAATTGAAAATAAACGAATCCTTGAGAATTGATTTAGAAACTCTAGGGAATATTTTCATGTTCCAATTCCTTTTCCCCCTCAAATTATTTACCAATAAAAATCAGTGAATGTAATGATTGTTTATGTGTGTGTGCAGTTAGTGTGTCACATGCGTACTATTTAACTGACAGAATATGGAAAGACAACGTTATTAATGTCCATTACCGAACCTAGGAACTTATTCAATTGTCATAGTTTAAAAAAAGAATACTTTAGTGAATCAACTTACTGAATCAAGTAATTATTTACACGTAAATTAATGAACAGAATTAAGTAAGGTTCAAATCAAGATGTCACCAATGGATTTCATCATTTCTGTAATAATTTTTTCCTCCCTCTAGTTAGTAACTAATGTCAGTTCGTATTTCAATTTGTTGGGCCAAGTGGTTTAACGTACCACTATATGACAAGTAATATTGAAAGTACTAGAGATCACCCACACCATGAATTCATCAGATGAATGATATTCAACAATTAAAAAAGAAAATAATTCATAAAAACAACTGTGGTTAGTGGTGAGTATGTTTATCAACCCGCCCTTCCACTAAATCAGTTGACATAAAACCATTCATTTCCAGTTATGATGGATTACTTCTGAAAGGAAAATGTTTTTATCATGATGGTTAAAGAGGTAACAAACGTTATACAGAGAAGTGAATACATATTTTAACACTTATTAGAAAGATAATAACTACTGTAAAATGTCATACATTGAAGTCGATGACACTTACTGAGGTGATTGGTTCAATAATTTCCTACAGCTTGATTTACAGAATTAAGACCACTCAGACATAATTTGGAGGGTAATAACATCAACTAGTGTTTTTAAAAAATTGATACCTACGAGACAGAGAGAAAGTACCTGACAAGTTCGAATCTACATGTTATAAGGTAATAAGTGATTTAATAATCCCGGGTTATAATTAATGTGATTTTATTGCTAATTTTATTCATGGAAACCAGTTCCAAAATCACCATTTAGATGAATTTTCTACGATTGAACCACCCTGCTGACTTTCGTTTGTTTCTGTGTTCAATGAAGAATTAGAATCGCAGTTAGTATCAAAACTATTCTACCAGAATAGTCTGATATAACAGATAATCAACAATTAAGCAATGATGAAAGTAAAGATCACATGATAAACAATAAATTTGGTCTTTTACTAGTTCCACCACGCTTTACGGGGATGTACTTGTGAGTAATCGCTGCCTATAAAGAAACTAGTATATATTGCTCCCTGGTTTTCAGTACTCATGTTAAAATAGTCTATCCTGCAGTGTTAAAAGATTGGATGTCTAATTCTTACCTATTAATTATTTTAAATACAAACAATCGCATTGTACTAATAACAATGAGAATAACGACAAACTTAGATATCATTACATTATCTCGATAATTATGGGAATCTTACCACTTCCGGTCTTCTTTTAAATATTCATCCTACTTTTTATATATTATAGTAGATCAGAGAGATAAAATTTTTCTAAGGTTAGCACTATCCAAGAGGGTAAGTAGGATCAGTTAAAATGACCAAATACCACTTTGGGAGAAAAAAACCCAACTAAATTTATCAAGATGAATTATATTCCAATAAACAGGATGTTGACGAGTTGAAATAGACAAACCAAGAACTGAATTGTTTTTTTTCTTAGTTTTTCGATATCCTTTCAAAATTAATTGCATAAAGGATAGATTATCTTATTCGAAAAATATTAATATTAGTGGTAATATCTTTATATGTAATCATAGTAAATGCTTATTTTTTATCATACAATGGAAAATGTATATGACTGTGTTTGATTATTCGTGTGTGGATGTGTGTGCGTCTGAAGACAATAGACGTAGATAAATGGTCATTGCATCGTGATGATTAAATGTGACGGTGATCAAGAATATTTTTGATATTTCTCATTTCTATAGTCGTTGATGATATGTATTAGATGTGAATGGTTAAGAAAAAAGCTTTGACTTTTATACACTAGTGGTGTATATGTATACATTTTTCCCTGTGAAAAAAACATAAATTGGAATGTTTACTTAAATCTCAATAAATAGATCGTAAATACTCTGCAAAAGATTTATATACATTCAGTTCAATGAAATACCCCCAAATGAAATTCATTCTCATCTACCTAGTATAAATTAAAGTTTTGTTCAGAACCTGTTTGGTTAGGGATAAAATAGACAGTTGATTGTTAGGCGGTTGAAGGAAGTCGGTTCGGGACCTTGCATTTAGGTTTCGTGCTATCTGATACTTGTCAGCAATGTATATCTAAAACCTGGAGGGAAATGATGCTTCTCGAAGAATTCGAAACCTCATTGCCTGGCTTCACAGGCTAAAATTTTACCACATGACCAACCTCCTGTACAACACATATTCAAAACTGATCAACTACTGAGTAATAACTAATGTCTTGTCTATCTAGACCTTATTACTAGCCAAGTTCAGTGTATTAAATTGCAATGTAACGACTAATCTTAGTGATTAATTGAGAGGATTTTACTGCTCCTAAATTTTAGCAAAGGAAGAGAAATAGTTAATGTTTGGTACATGTACATTCTTATGATGTCTCAATAGTAAAGTAAATCTGAATATGTGATTAAACTAAATGATTTTATTAACTTTTTGCCATTGTCTAATCATTATCTAAGTCAAGTTGTATAAGGTAAAAAGATATCTTAATGTAGAGTACATTCATGGTAAAAATTTATCTTTCTAGAACTTTAAATTCTATCTTTTTTTCTTTAAATAATAATTATTGCTGAGATATGCAAGTTACATTAACTTTATTTTGATTATCAAGTAATCCTATTTAACGTAAATAACTGTCGAAAAATAAACATACAGTTGGACAATATAGTCACAGAATAAAGTTATACATGTAAGTCATTAAGTACTGACTCAGTAGTCTAGAAGTAAAGGTCTCTTGCCGGAAGATGAAAGATTCTAGGTTCTATCTACGGTGGGTCCCAAGTTGAGACAAAAACATTCGTCCAGTGCTTCCTGGTTTTTCATGATTACGTAACTATGTGATGTAAACTGTGAAGATAAAATATAGTGGATTTCATGTCGGACATAAATTAGTCATTACAAGTGATAGTAGCTGATCAACTCTCCACCTATTATAGCGATTTGACTGAATTTCGGAAGACGAATCGTTGGATTTAAGCTTAGTGGCTCAAATGCATATATATCTTATGTTTAATTCGTAGATAAGTCATGTGTACATACTTCTGACAAATAAATAAAAAAACTGATGTTTAGTGCTCTCTTGTTTTCAATAGTTCCTCCAATCATATCACGATGTAGGTAAAATTAACTCAAAAATAGCATATGCCATAAATAAACTAATAAAGCGAATTGTGTCTTACCTGGAGATACTTATAGTACTAAGGGAGAGTGTATGAGGAAAGCTGGAAAGGATAAGGATAAAAGATAAGGGGAGTCAACGCCTCGACAAGCACATAGAAAGTACTTACATTTAATGAGAAAAACAATGAACAATAATCAAGACTAACATCAGCCTAAGAGTAAGGCAGAAATAGAAGTGGATAGCATAAACTTTCAAACCCGCTACAATACTGTTAATTATTTAAGCATTTTACAAGAAATATCTAATTCAACTATGAATATATCCATTGAAGTTTCGATATTTTAAAATAAACATTAAGCTTTTATGCTAGGGTAAAGGCAAGGATTGTCAAAATAAGGGCCGCATGACTACATATGGAACTCAAAACAACTGTCAACCAATACCAAAATCAGAATCTTCAATACGAACGTCAAGACAGTCTTACTGTAAGAAGTTAAAGAGTGGAGAACTACAACAACTATCATCAAGAAGGTACTAGTATTCATTAACAATCGTCTGCAGAAGATACTCAATGTCCATTGGCCGGAAACCATCAGCAACAGCCTACTGTGCGAGAGAACAAATCAGCCTCCAGCTGAGGAGGAAATTAGGAAAATACGTTGGAAGTGGATAGGACACACATTACAGAAATCACCAAATTGAATCACGAGATAGTCCCTAACTTGGAATCCTGAAGCGAAACGGAAAAGAGGAAGACCAAAGAACACACTATGTCCAGATTTGGAAGCAGACATGAGAAAAATGAATAACAAATTGAAAGAACTGGAAAGGATTTCCCAGGATAGAGTTGGATGGAAAAAGCTGGTGGGTGGCCTATGCTCCTCCAAGAGGGGTAACAGGCGTGAGATAAGATAAGAAGATTCTATGTTAGACCCATTGATTTAAAACCAGGAGGCTCAACTATATGATGAAAGTTATTGCTACTAATAATTATCATAACAACACTGTTAATATTAATAGTGTGGAGTTCATTATATTCCGCTAACTCCATTTATTTCAAGTTAGTATGAGAAATATCAATGTACTTAATAAAGATATTTGATAATTTTAAAGTAATATGAAGGGTTGGTAATTTTACTGAAATTATGTCTTTTATATAACAATTAATCAGCGCTATAGTAAAATTACTTCTTATTTCATTATAATATAAAATTTATCGACATCTTTATCTTTGAACTCCTGAGCCGGGATACAATGGTTTATATTGTCTGACTTCAATTAATTGTCAATGGTGCACAAATATCTCTCACTGCTTTTTGGGGGCTAACAACCTTGTGTCCGATATGTTTAAGCTCCAGTAATCATGACTTCTCATTGGAATTCAAAAAAATTTCCCTCAAAATTAGTGAAGTTAATGGCACTTATCAGTGCTAGGGTTCATGATCTCTAATACATTCGACAATTTCCATAAATCCCGACTATGATTGTATCGAAGTGTTTATGGTTTTTGTTTAACTGACAACTATAACAAACATACGATTTTTGATTATAATAATGAATTATTTTTATTTTTTACTTTTTCGATTTTTTTATATTTGTAATATAGTTATCCATATTATCGAGAAAATAAACAAGGTTGGCAAAATTCTATTCGTCATAATCTAAGTTTAAATGATTGCTTTGTTAAAGTGCCTAGAGATGATACGAAACCAGGCAAAGGTTCATTTTGGACTTTACATCCAGAAGCACATAATATGTTTGATAATGGTTCATATTTAAGACGTAAACGTCGATTTAAAACTGATCTTACTTCAACAGAACGTTATTGTAGCATGAAAAAACGTAATTTTATTGGAGAGAATTTAATGAACTCAATCAAAAAGAATTTATTAAAAAATAATTGCAGGGATAATCTTAATGATTCAAGAACTAATCTTGAATTGACAAATGAAATAGATGGAACTAATATTAATACTAATTACGAAGACGAAGATAATTATGGCAATGAAAGAACTGAATACTGTAATGACAATGATGACAGTCATCTATCAGATAAAGACAAAAACATTGCGAAATTAACAGATGGTCAGATCTCATCAAAATCAAATTATTCATTTGGTTCAACTACGTTTCAAACATCTAATGAATTTATGGAAGTGAGTATTATTACTAGTACTGTTACTACAACTAGTGATACGATTACTCAAACAATGAAAACATCAAGTACTGCATATCATCCACTGTTGTGTTTACAACGTCAAGTAGTAGCACATTCCGATTCAAACAATAATTCTTTAATTAAAATGGGTAATTTTGTGGATTCTAAACAATCTTATCTTAATTTTAATACACCGATAAAATATAAGGATGAATTTTGTCAAGGTCATACTCATGATTATTACTCATCAGGTGCTATACCAAAACATTCTGATATGATAAAAAACTTAAATGAGTCTTTTCAAAATGATGAGGTTAGTTTATGTGTTGAATTGTCAAGTTGACATTTATTCATAACCTATTTAGAAGTGTACAAAATTTTAATATCCAACCACTAAGAATTTCTGTTCAGTATTTCTTACAGGGAAAAAATTGCCGGATTGTCTAACGTGAGTTCATTTCAAAAAAGGAAATAGGTGTTTACAAGTTATTTCAATACGCTAAAACTATTCTAACGCATTCAACGCATACCCATGTAAAAGAAATATCTCAACCAACCGTATTGTCTAAACAATTGCCTGTTGAGCTAACGACTATATGGTAACTTCCCAGTTTTTATGGCACACTGTTTACTGGCTTAGAATATATGGTGTTTAGATCTTCGTAATTTAACCAGTCGGTGGCTATAGAACAAAAGTATAGTTTAGGGTCACCTACTGACGTACAAAAACCTACTAGGTTAACGGTCGCCGATCAAGAATCCACAATCAACTCTGTCCTGGGTTCTTCTTTTCAGCCGTACCTAAGTTCTTCTCATGGTTTTCATATGCGTTCTTTGATATTCCTCCTTTTCCCCTTCAGGATTCCAGATTAAAACTTGTGACGCAGTTCGAAGGTTTCCGAGCAGTTTTGCCTATCTACCTCCAGCGTCATTTATTAATTTCTTTATCAACTGGAAGTTTATTTATTCAATAGAAGAATAGATTATTGCTGATGGTCTCTGGTCAAGAGATCTGGAGTATCTTGCGCGAAAGGCTGTTTATTAGTGCCTCTGAGTTTCAAGTCCGTACAATAGAATCGTTTTGGCATTTGTATAAAAAAATGCTGACTGAATTGTTGGCTGAGAGTTCTTTTGAATTCCAGATATACTTCAGTCGTAGGAATGTTGTCTTTGCCTTGCCAGTTTGTTTTATGACATTTGCATCAGAAACGTCATGTTTATCAGTGATCCAGGTGTTTGAGGCTTCCACCTGTTTCAGAGCTTCACTATCATGTGTGATTGAGTTGGTGCCCCTTATGTTGCGTTTTCCTTTGTGAACCTTGAGGCTTATTTCTGCAAAAGCCTCTGATACCTCGATTGTTTTCTTCTGCATTTTTTATTGTGTATGCGACATAAGGGTTAATTTATCTGCAAAGCTCAAATCATTTACTTGTGTCCAAGGTGTCCGCCGTATTCTTCTCTTTCTTAGAGATGTGTTAGTCTTCATAATCTAGTCAACTGTTAACAGAGAGAAAGAAGCTGAGGGTAGATACCCTTGTCTAAACTGGCGTCTATTCACGACAGTTCCTTGTAAAAGTCCTGCATGATCCTCTGTGATTGGCTTCCGTCCTTTATTCTCGATTGGTTGATCTGGATCACTATATTTCCTTGTTAACTTAATGGTTTGATGATATATTCCTTTCATATTTTCTTCCCTTGCAGCTTTTTCTTCGCCAGTTACCTGGTCTTCTAACGGAAATAGATTTGCAAGTCTTTCACCACTCTCATTTCTTTCTCCTAGTCCATGTCACCTAATGATACATTCGTATCCACTGTTAGACATTTTGGTCACCCGTCAGAAGAATCAGGTATTTTCCTGGACATTCATCTAACGTGGAATACGGTCTCATACAGGACTGATCTTTACCATCTCCACTGATATAATCTTTGGTGGCATAGCACTGGATGATATTCACTGTAATCCCCTCTGTTGCTTTGAAGGATGCTTTAATGATCATGTAGCCATGAGTTCTCTACCCCGTAAGCGGTTTTCTTATTTCTTTAGAGAGCATATATCCAACTCATTGTGTGTGCGTGGCATTTTCTCCCGATTGACCGGGATACAACAAAAGCTCTCTTGAAGTTGATCTTTTTGTCCAGCTTATGTTCAGTTGGTTGCGTCTATTCCAAGCAGAGACAGGTTGTATCTTCTAAGCCGTGTGATCCTCCTGAGCTCTCAAGTTGTTCGGGAATCCCATGTTCCTGTGTTTATTGCTGCCTTGGGTGTTACAAGGGTTGTCCTCCAGGTGGCTTCCAGAGACTTAGGTTTCACTGTGTGGAGTCATATTTTTTCTATATGAAGATCCTTCAACTTTCAGTGAAGAGATTATTCAGTTTTATGTGGTTAGCTTTGCTATAGCTGGTTCTGCTTTGAGATACGGTCACTAGTCTTACACCCAACCTTTCTTTATTACCCAGACTTAGGAGCAGCACTAACTCCAAGGGGGTTCCAGATGGAGTTAATAGCTTGGAGTACTGCACCTATGCATAGTTAATCGATAAAAACAACAATGTTATAGATTTAGGTAAACGTGTTAACACAATAACATGAGATTTTCGCTACTGAACTTAACATACTGTGCCTACATAATCTTTGTTTTCTAAAACTTAAGTTTTTTATTAGCACACCAGTATGACGTAACGCTGTCTATGAATAAAGGAAGTTGACTTTTAACTGTGACAAAAACAGACAATACTCGAAAAAATTGTGTCATTAGTCTAAATTCATAGTCCACACATACTAGACACAGATTTCTTATTGTTTAGAATTGTCAGGATTGATTTTGTCAGTACACCATCATTAAGTGGACATGTTGAAAAGGCACTGTTTTCTTTTTATGAGAAATATTTTTTTCATACTTCTCTTATGTGTAAATATTTCCAGTAACATTTAGTTGGAACCAAACGTCATTTACAATTTGCTATCCATTATCATCAATTAGTTGAATTCCTCATAAATGAATTATATTAAATTAAACCAGTTGAAGTACGAGTTCTATGCTATCGCTTTTCAATCACATTGTTTGTGTGAAGTCTGGTAACATTAACCGGCTGCCTAATCCAAATTAGCTATACTGAGCTGTGAATTGATAGTCTACTTGGCTCTAGTTTGAATCCTGTCATCTATAATCTACCGCTCCTGCAATATCACAACACGGATTGTTGAAAATGTTTTACCATCAAAAATTTCCCTTCATGTAAACTTTACGAATAATTCAGATTTAAAATAATTTTGCCCTACCAACAATTTGATAATAATTTAACATTTGTCAATACAAAAAAATAGAACAGAATGGATACAATACAATCACCAAAGATTTATTCGAGAACAACAAAATACATTTAGTGATGATTCATAGACATCTATTCGGGTTACAACTCATCTACAAGTTATAGTTAATATCAAATCAAGTTATGAATTTGATGAGTTAAACATTCCGAACCTATGACGCAGATCTAAGTACTATTATAAATGTTATGATTTGTCTAATGTTTTATATACATGAAAACATGCTTGTCGGTAATTATCCGAAAAATTTCTTCATTTTATAAAGTAAAATGTCTCAGAAAAATTGCGTAATTTCAAAACAACTTGCTATATATATATATGTCTGAATCTATTATAGATTCCTTGGCAGGAAATACAATGAGCTCCATTGAATCTGCATTTTAATTCCTGTGGTAGTAATCAATAAAGGATATATTTTGAAACAAGAATTATGGGCTATTCCGTTTCGAATTAGTTTTTCCATCAAAAATGATCCTGGAATAGTACATAAGTTAGGTGACGTATTTTAGAAGATTTGTTTATATCCAAAATAACTAATTGTATTGTTTACAATTAATAATTTTCAGATCTGTCTGAAACGCATTTTTCTAGTGACAGACGAAATAGCATCTGAAGACAATAGAATAACTTGTACACATTGTGGATGGACCGTATTGATTAAAAAAAGAAAACCATAATGAATAAAACATAGATTAAAAAAAAAATACAAACATCACAATTGCACTTTGCATGATCGTCATTTACTAGTTAATAAATTTGTAGAATAACAATAGGTTCTAAGCACTTTATAAAAGGTATTTGAGTAAATTTTGAAGTTAACAGGAACTGTTGGTTGGTTAAAACAAATCAAAGCTATTAACAATTGTTGCAATAAACAAACAGTTAAAAAACAGCCTATACGATTAAACATTTCGAAAAGTGAAACAGTAAAGTTTATTGATTGACTGTTAATCCGATTACAGATATGTTAAATTATTAGATGATTATTAAAATAATTATCTTTTATGAGTTGGAAACCGTTTTCATATTGAAATCGAACAAATGAAATATATTTTCTAGTTTTGAATTAAATTACTCAGAATATGGTCGAATTCACAGACATCTGTCAAGTGATACAATGAATGCTTTCGAAAATTGATTATATGTAATATGGTCCCATGTGACATTTGACACTATCAGATTCGACAGTTATTGAACGATACATTTATAACTTTACACTTCACTCTCATTTAAACGGTATTGTGGCCTTGGTTTATCCCCTATATATCACACAACAGAATATTTAAGCGGATATATATATTAAAACCCCTCCAACATTTTGTTATACGATTATAAGAATGATGAAAGGGGAAAAATTAGTTTATTTAATGTCCTGAATCATTTTTTGTGTAACATTAAAAGACAGAAAAGTAAAAAGATACACAACGCTAACTTCTGCTGTATAAATTCTCATGTATTTGTATTTATGTGTATATTTGCTACTGTAGATGATGGACTGGTTTCCTTGTACAAAAAACTAGTTTGTTTAATCATTGATAAAAAAAACTTCAACTACCCAATTCATTATTTATCTGCTTAAAGAGAAATACATTAGTCGATCTAAATAAAGGATAGAAGCACACAGAATAAAACTTATAACATACATCCAGTATACAGAAATATGATCCAATTTAAGGGAGACAATTCTAATCTCTAATAAAAGGAATTTATCACTAACAAATTTGATACAAGGGAATGAAGACAAACAATAAACACCAAATAACTAGTTTATTGGGGACAGATTCATGTGGTTGGATTTGAGATAAACCTTAAATGTGAGAACTAATGATACTAATCAGTTACCCAAACCGAATTAGGTAGTGTTCGAACCTGCTGCTTAGTGGCAGACAGTTAACCTCCCTAACCACTGAGCAATCGCTCCATAAATAACTGTCAGTAAAAAAGTGGAAATAATTTAGATTAAATAGTGTCTTATAGATTGTGTATTAGATAGAGGTAATTTTCTTTTTATTATAAAACGATATCGTTTAAAAAATAACTACTGATATTTCAAAGGTATTCTAATAACAGTTTGATCCTGGTTTGGGATTTATTCTTGGGGTTAGCTGTTAAGCACACGATATTCTGATATGTCAGACATGTGCAGCTATTTGGTACCTTATTTGATAGAAGCTACATATTCGTATCGAATTTCTTTGCATAACTGTCTGATTAATCGTTAGTTACACTATGTAATTAAAGTTGAAGGAAATTCATAATCGATATAAGACTGGAACAAACGGAGTTTCATGGTACAAATATGATTTTCTGTCGACCAAATTACAACCCTATTGTATGTCACGGATAAAACACGTTTTTAACCTTCGAATTTAAAAGAAACATTTAATTAAATAATTATTTTGTTTTCTTTCTTATAAGGTTGAAAGTAATGCCAGAAATAGTCATCTGCAACAAGCAATTAATTCAATCTATACAAACCAATATCAATATCACATACCTGAACATATACAACAAAATAAAATTTATGATTTATCATCATCATCATCTATGAATATTCAATTGAACAATGAACACCATAAATCGTTTCAAACGTTTATCCCGACTGAATCGGATTCAGAAGCATCCCATAATATAAGTAATAACAATTGTGATAATGTCAATAATGATACAAATCAAATTCACCTGTATGAAAAGTTACCGCGATGTCCAAAACCCAATGTATCATCATTTCATTCTAAAGGAAGTGAATACTTTGATTATCCATGCTGGTTAAGAAGTGAGAATTTCGCTACAAATATGTGGAATAAAACAACGGAAATCTGTGCCTCCGAATCAAATACCTCATTAATAAACAATCAGTCATCTTGGTCAAAATCACCAGTGAATAAAATTACCGGTCAGAGTATAAATGAGCTGAGTCATAGTCAACCAGATTATCCCCAGGTAATATGTGTTTATTGTAAATTTTATTTAAGAAACAATACCAACTCATAGAAAGATTTAAATCTATTCAAATATTCTCACCTACGGCTACTTCACGAATATAATTATTCGGGTATACTTTGAAACGGTTTCCATAGCGGATTAGCTTTAGATAGTGAGCCATTCATATATGGAAAGCATTGGATGACCGGGTTATCTTAGTTCGTAGCTCTTTAATGGTACCCAATTACGATCCTAATATTGATCGGATTAAGGATCCTCTGGTCTTATATGGGATGTTTTTATTTGTAGATCAGTATCGAATGGTTCAGATTTCCACTTCATTCAAATTGCTAGACCCAAAGGGCTTAGGTCCGATCCGTAACAAATTCACACTTCTGCGAGTGAAGGACCTCATCATTAGTCTCTAGTTCTTAGTTATTCATGAGTTGGTGTTGATCTGTGACGAAAACGTCGTCCAGATCAAACTGGTTTTTAAAACTAACGAAATAAACAATGATGAATTCCATCTTCAGTTGTTAACCTATTTGTTTTTTAACCGAAAACAAGTTTTAGTGAATTTATAAGAAAGTTTATCACTTCTCATTGATTAAAAAACCATGTATATTTGGTGGATAGGTATTTGAAAGCCTTGTGTTTCCTCAAACTCGTTTTATAAGACTAGGTCATGGGAAACATGAAAAAAGGAATATGGGAGAACACTTGTAGCACTAATAGTGATTAGGAAAACACTTATGTCCTTAGATATTTGAAGCATATTGTCTCTATTATGAAGAAGTTAGTTTGAACTGTACTACCCATTGAAAAACAACGTTTCCTACTTATTCAGATATTTCCTCCACACCTGAAAATTTCTTCCTGATTATATTAATATCATGTACAGAATACTTGATTGATAGCTAAAAACTTTAGGGAATATTAAAGAATCAATAATTAGAGCAATTGTGGTGCATGCTTCTTATGTTTGCAAATATAAGTATTATGAAACACCAGTTGGAAGTGGAATATCTGCGAGCAGAAGGTTGAGAAGATTGGCATGAAGAAAAGAGAGAAGAGAACTGAAAGTAATCAAGCTAACAAAAGAAATGAAGGAATAATGAAGCTTGTGAGAGACAATTGAAAGATAATGTGCATATGATATATTTGATCTATGATTTTCATATTTTACTACATTACTATGTGATTGTGCATCAAACAATAAATTGGGTTTCCTCACCTGAAGTCTTCGTTCCCCACATTTATTGTAACTACCAAAGGAGAGGTGGAGAGGGTGAAGTCGAGCGGGCCCCGTAGTAAGGCCAAATGAGGTACTAGTTAGGGCGTTTTGGTTGACGGAGAGGAGTGTTACGTCTGAGCACTGGACGGATGTCGGATGTAAATTGCCTAGCGGGTCGACATTGCTACGGAGGTCAGCACGCCGGCTGGCTTGAAATTTCTGCGGGAGGCGTAGCGCAAAATAAAAGAAGGAGGGAAGCGACACGGCAATCAGGATGACCGTCTAAGGGAGGAGGACTAGTGTAGTGTATGCTACTTATATTGACAGATATCAGTAACATGTATCACCTATTGGAAGTGGAATGCATCTTAGCCAAAGACTGAGAAGATTTAGTGGAAGAGAACAGAAAGGGAAGCAGGGAGTAATTGCAATCACAATAGGGTTCAAAGAATGATGAAGTACGTAAAAGGCAACTGATGGAAAATATGCAAATTATGTATTCAATGTATGATTTTCATACTTTACGAAAGGACTCTGCAATTTTGCACTAAACAACAAAATGGTTATTTCCACCTGGATTCTTCGTTCACTGCAATACTATTAAATGTGCTAGGGGATTCGGAGTTTCAATGTTCTGATTGTGTTCTACAAAGATAATGTACCATGTGGTAAAATAATCTGTAAGGAATGGGTTATGTTGCTATTATTGTTAATTTCCATCTTCACTATGGAGTACCGAGTTTCCGGAATCAACAATAATTTTTCTCGAAATAGTTTCTGTATGATCATTTACTACTGTCTTACAATGTTGTCATGGTACAGCAAGATGAATGTTACGATAGAAATATATGGTTAATGTTCGGTGGAAAATAATAATAGGTTAAATATTTGGACACTTGACTTGATACTAAAGTATTGAGTGTTTTGGTTAGTTATAGAATTATTTTAGATATACATATTACTTAGAGTGTGTATAACATTTATCATAATCAAAGTATCACTATAAACGGCGTACTTCATATATTAGGTAGCTGAAAATAACCAATGAAACACTTTGGGTTTTATGCATGGTTTTACTAGTCTGGCAACTAGGTTCGGCGAGGTCCTTTGATAGGACTTGGCCATCTGTAAAGAATAAGAATAATGACTTAAATTAATACGGAGTAATTTATTTGTAGTGTAAAACGTATTTTTATCATTATTTGTTCTACAGGCTCTTTTCCATGTACAAGGTAATCAAGTATCAAGTGAACACATATTAAATCCATTAGGGTCAATGCAAATGACAGCAGTTACAACTGTACAACGATCAAATATGGAGAGTCATCAGCAGAACAATACTTCTGACAGCAATCAAAGTGTTCATTGTGAAGCATTATGGAACCATAGTAATTCAACAAATATTAAATGTCCAACAGCAGAAATAACTACTGATAAAAAAGTTGGAATTATTGAAAATTCACTTCTTGAAGGGTATTCAACACGTAATGTCAATGGCGAAAAAATTAATCATAAAAATCTAAAACCTAGCCTTGAGAGTATAAAAGTACCTAATACATACACATCATCGTGCATATCTGGAGTCGAAAATTCTTCAACAAGTTCGAATGAGTCACATTTAATTTGACTGCTTCAAGCCAATCATCAAAGAGATCAATAAAATATGATTATTATTTAACTTAATTCTTTCTTCAGTATTGTGTTGTTAAATAACAATTAACTCATATTATAACAGTTTTATTAGAGCCTCTGTCCAAATCAAACTACTGAAGTATCACTTGTAATTTATTTGTCTTCTTCCTTTGTTTTCATATTTTATTTCATGTTCATTACCATGAGATAGAACATATTTTACTTGAGTTATTGAAAAATTTATTAAGTCGACTCACATATACGGCGCTAAATCTGTTAGTACTGTACATGTCTCCATTACGATAAAAATAAATAATTACAAAAATAGACTTGAAACTATTTTTCTGTGTTCTATCGTTCTCATCCCTTGTCAATTAATCAGATTTTAATTTTTATTATAGAAAATTAAGATTACAATCAATCAATTAGCGTGTATCATTACTGTCAAACTCCCTAGAAAATATATCATTTAAATTTGATAACTGATCGTTCTAACTAACTGTTCATCTTTTTGGGTCGTTTTATTGAATACCAAATTAATTCAACCTGATTTTAAATGTTTTTGATCCTAGTTTTTCCTTGTTGTGTGCTTGAATTTGCTTGATAAGGCAATACCGAAAACCTTTTGAAATATTTTGGGAATGAACATATTTCAAACAGTGTCGTCAGCAGCCTATGAAGTAAGGTCTGGAACCTGTGTATATTGAATTATATGATGCACGGATTGATGTAGCGACTAATTATTGAAGTGAGTGAATTGATTAAACGACTTATCGTAGTGTTATATGGCTTGCATGCATCGATGAGGGAAGTAATATAATGTCAAGTAGCTATTGAGACAGGATAAAGCATCACGCATGAAAGCTGTGCATAGACAGAAACCTATAATTAATTACATGAAGAAGTACAAATCAATAGGAAAATAAGGGTACCAAAATGGTTGCAAAAACAAATCAAATAACCCAATACGAGATCATAAACATCTATCATCCTCTGTTGCTAAACACGTAGTTGAACAGGTCAAAAGCTTTTTATTCATATATATTGGTTGTTTAGAGCTTCCCAATGATATTTAGGGCTGCAACTGATCAGTCTCTTTTGGTATACGTGCTTCCTGTGCCGATCGCTTCGATATTACCTGAAAGTCTAATATATCGCATAATTCTGAAAACATTTGTCTTCTTATTGCATTGTCCACAATTGAATGTCACATAAACGTTGTTTTATACCTGTTCGAACAAGCATTAACTTGCGTAGGTTTCTGTTCTAAGCGAATATAAGGCCGTTACAGTTTTCGGTTTATAATTAATTATATAAGAAGCAATATATATCATTGTTAAAATACCGATTTTGTACATAACTATATATTGCATTCGTTAATATTCTTTCTTGTGAAACGTGAGTGACCAGAGACAATAAAAATATTCTTACTGAATTGGAATGGTTCTCACCTCTTCTGTATCAAATTCGTTTTATATTGTAGATTATTTTTAAAAGATGCCTCATTTCTATGTGAGGGTATCCGAAAAAACACGTGTCTTCTGGTATGTCAATAAAACAACTGGTAAATGGACATTATTATTGGTATGGTGGACTTGTGGAGGTCGTAGTATTTCCAAAACCTTGCAGCACTGGACGGCTGTTTCAAGTTCCGCTTGCGAGGTCGTGAATGAGCACTGCTGAGTCCTATACTAGAACGAAGCGACCCTCCAGTGTTTCCAATGGTGGTCTAGGTTAGATCAACCCATGATTTCAACTGTGAAAGTGAACACAAGACTGAAATATCTCACTCATTCTCATTTGTCTCTATTGCACAGTTTGAAATTTTTATTACAGAACTCTAGAATGTGATTCATTTTACGCAACCCTATAGTATTTAATGTGCTTCTATCCACACGATCGGAGAAAGTGGGTTTGAAAAGTCTATGAGGACAGCTTAATTCCAGTCTATAAGTTAACTGAATACCAATAAGTGAAGAAGTAAGTCATTCGGCATTCAACTGTTGGGTTGTAATTGTGAAAAATGCAACTATCTGCATCATTTTTTAGAGTATGGGAGCATCCACACACAGAGAATGCACAAATTTGTACATGGTTGCTGACGTACGTCATTAAATAATTTCGAGGCTCAAAGTTGAAGGGAAACTACAAGCTGTTCCGTATACATAGCAGATTTTTTAGTTCATTCATTCCCGACATATCCACTATGGAGAAGTAGGTTCTTGTTTCCCAACCTACATTACTTGTAGTCTGAGATCTCCATCTGTCAACCAATGGGTGTTTTACAACAGTCAGCTCTTTATTACCCTATGAAACATAGCCTTTAAAAATGGAAGATTAAGGTTTTTGACTATAATTATTTCCAAAGCACTGGTCACGTATTGTGGAACGACCCAGTGAGCGATAATGGGGTTAGGTATAGGACACTAAGCAAAGACGGAAAACCGGTTGAGAAGGCTGTGAATTTTTATCGACTGTGGCTAGGATGCGCATTACTTATGCTCAACTAGTGTCAACATTGACGCGCAGCGTTGAGTGATGCAAGCTGGAAGATAGCTAAATTCGTCCGGGCCAAGATGTAACATTGGTTTATGAAGGAACTAATTGCTCGTCGAACCATTTTGATAGATGAAGATTACCTGGTTGGGGTCCGCGTTCGGAGACTTTGGGTGACATGTCTCAGTGATGTGGATGAATGAACTGTCTATTTTCTTCTAGATATTGAGTTTAAGTATTCGTTTTTCTATATTCTCAATGCCTAATCCATTTCATTAACATTGTTAGTATACCATCTTGACTCGTTCGCTATTCATTGTGTTAAACTCATATGTTTTGCTGATTTGGTGTAACTAGTGCTTACGAACATTTGCGCTAGACAAAACATATTTACGCATTATTATCACTACTACAAATATTATCCCAAATCTAAGGACGACAAAAGGACTAAGATATAATTCAAGAATGTATATTACCAATAACGGCAAAAATGTACATGCAAATGGAAAAATAAAATGTTAAAATCGAATTTTAATAAGTGGTAGTCCTTGTGAATTTGAAACAGGTTTTCTACCAGTTAAAAATAGAGTTCCTAAGTGATTAACAGACTGTTTCAACGATTGTACTGAATCGGTGGTAACTTTTAGTGGACATCTGCACATGTAAACTAATTCATTCCCGCGTTGACTTTCTGCTAACATTGATCTATAAACGTAAATTTAAGATAATAAATGTAATAGGTATGTAGGAATACAAATTTCATTTAGCAAGTTACAAGAACTGATCAAAAGACAGAAAGTGCCACACAGCAGAGAAGTCAGTCCCACGCTAAATAACATGAGGATCAATAATCTGATAATAATTTTTAGTATGAAACTGTTGAGATGGTTGAATTCTATCGAAATCACGAACCGGTATAACTTGGGCAACCATTGAAAACCTAGAAGCGCTGGACGGCCGCGACCGGTGAAATTAAAGTTAGATGTGAGGAAGATATCCATTAAAGACAGTGGAAGATGGTCGCGCAATATCGTTAATTGATTTAAGTTAGATTTGTACACAATTAGTACCACATGCATTAAAGGTTTGCCCATGAAACTCAACGTCGTGGTTTCGATTTCTGGTTGTGGGTTGAGGATGGGCAACGCTGAGGAGTTCCATACCAGAGCGAAATGGCTGTCCAGTGCTTTCAGTTTTTCAATGGTTGTTTAACTTAGATCAGTTTGTGATTTTACATGTTCGCACAAAACCGTGTACATTGGAAAGACAGGCATCTAAATGGTTCACTGACTATATTCCAAAGAATTTTCATCTCAAAAGCCATGACAGTAGTAAAGACTCAAATGCGTATGACCTTCTGGGTGCAAGTTAGGCATAGTTCGAATCTTCACTATTAGTGTTCGCACAGACCATGACAATTAGAGAACATATATATATGCGTATTTACGGCTACTGGTTAGACTTTAAGTGGCTTGAAAATACAAATGAACAAAGAGAGCATTTTCTTATTCACACTGATTATGAATTGGTATTGAACTCAAAGTTCTAGCATGTTTTGTTACGTAATGCAATAAAAATCACATTATTTCTAATCTCACGAAAAGTATTTGAATTTAAGCTATGTTTACATTTCGCTTCCAGAACAAATTAATGTTCTATAACTTATAATTCACTTCCTAAATCCTAAGTATATGGATGAAAACGTTTTTAACATAACTGTTACAATACTGATAGTCATACTTTATTTTATCCTCCAGTTCATCGTAACAACAATCCGGAAATAAACCTGATAGACATATAATGTTCAGTTTTTCCAGCTTATAGACAGGTAACAGAATTTCATCTATAGTTTGTGCATAAATTGGTGACAGACTTGCATTTGTTAAGCATGGATTATCACTAGAAAAAGAAATTATAAATGGGAGAAAATAGTTTACAATGTTGATGAACATATTTAGTATCAATAAATTGGTAGTGATTTTAATTTTGGAACATTGAAATACCAGTTGAAAAATGAAAGGTAATCATTAATGTCGGAGCTGTAGCACAATGCTGTCAGTGGTTAGGTAGTACCCATATATAGGCAAAAAGTGAATTATTTCTAGAATGCATTGGTACTTTTGTACGTGTAAGCTTACGGTAACTACCGACTGAGTGAATCGTTGTTGTCACATATCTCAAAAAATACATCCCCAGCAAAAAGACAATAACTTGCAAAGGTGTTACTCACCGTCGGATTGAATGGAACTTTCGGACGAATGTCCGAACATGGAGTTGGAAGCAAAGTATCGAAAGATGCACTACCTGTTAGACAACACTAGTTGAACTGGTAGTGGAAATAAGGTAGATCTTAGTAATAAAACTAAACAACCAACAGGACTATTATTACTACCAATATCAGTATAGTAATATACAAGTGTCGTTTTAAAATAAATGCGGTATGGAGGTGAAGTTATACTATGATATATAAAGTGACTAAATAAAAGGTAATGTTTTGGAGGTAACTACGGCAAATTTAAGTCTTTATAGGACTTACCGTAGAACTAACGCCTTTATAGTAATCAGAATCTTACGGAGTCGGCTGCTGTCCGAATAACACAGTAGTAACCCTGTTGGCCGTATTAGAGCCTGACACAAGTTTGAGTTTTACTAGGAGTACCGGATCTCTAAATATTGTACTGAACCTAGATTCGAGGTAATCCATTGATTCCCTTCAATCACTAAAGAAACTGTTATCTCACTGGTAGGTCATACGATTTTAAAAATGAGCCAAGTGAATTGAAATATAATAACGAATGTGACTGGTGCATGTGTGCTAAGGGATACACTTTTTGCGTCCCAACGTCCACAAAATTTAGATGTAGAACTTACAATCAAGTGCACTTTTACATGGAACACATTGACTAATTTTTTGTTGCTATTGTCATTATTTAAGTGAAGCTTTTTTTGGAATTTTTCTAACATTTTCAAAACATTTAATGATAATTACTCACCTTGGAACACGATTTGAAATAGCTGAATTAGGAAATGAAATTCCAGCTGCTAAATAAGATAAAACTGTTAATCCTAAGCGAATATTTACAATATTTAAAAAATCTGACGTTTTGTCTATTTCTGTGCATGTGCATGAATTTTCTTCTTGTTTTAGAGGAAGTTTGTTCCATGAAATTAGTTCTGGTATTAGTATAGGTGATCCAATGTAGTTAAACACCTCACATTGTGGTCGGATCTTTATTGGGGAAAAATAATAACATAAAAAAGATACCGATTACAACAACATTCTTACCGCTTTCTCCCTCTCACCGAAATAATGCAACTTGATAGTTTAATAGTCTAACTTTTGTATCTTAGGGTTATCTTATAGCTGAAATAATAAAATATCTTTGAATGAATTTATTAAAGTTAATTCAATATTAGTGTACGAAACTATTCAATTAGTTTTCAGAAGATAGTTATCAACCATTAAATTACAGTTGAATAGTAATCCCGAAAAGCCATAACAGTGACTGGCACTCATGATTTTGAGTCAAGTGTATAGTAAATAAAGTGATTTTTGTAAGATGTGATGTAACTGTTGGTAAACACTTGAAGTTATTCAGTTATAAGCATTGTGGGACTGGACATGAGTGAATACTTAAAAACTATCAAGCAAGTAAGTATTCATATGCATAGAGGGATAAAAAACACACAAACGAAAGTACTTAATTTCTCAGCATCAAAGAATCAGACTTAAAATCGTTTGTGAAACAACTAGAGGTCTAAACACTAAATAAGAAATATTACTATAAATGAAATGCTGACTACAGAGTGTATAAAATGAAATAAAAGTAGAGGATCTGTAGGAGAAAGTTTACTTTGTAACATAATTCGGTATAGAACTATCAAGTAACAGTAATTATCCAATTTTCTAGCTCGTTCATAAACATAAATCTATATGTAGCTGATAATGATTTGGATATACATAAATCAATAGACAATACTGACATTGTACTAAGCTTTTATAAATACAAACTATCTACAGAACAGATATAAGTTACAACAATTAAGTATATTTGTCTTTGGATGAAGCGTTTTAATCTTAGTGGATTTGTAAGGATTAACTGAAGGAAATCATCTTACTGATATATTGTAACAACTGAGCAAGATTACAAAAGTATGTTAGGAACACCATTACCATTACTGAATCAGTAAATTATTCAAATGTAGTGCAAACATATTTAGTTTGTCTATCATATTTCTATAACTTCAATGCTATTCAGTTTGTGTACCCGACTTTCATTCAAGTTTTACGTGAGTGGAGGCTAGCGGTTTTATCCAAATGGAATGATCGGAGTAGTTGGAGAGGAGTTTAAACTTCTAACTGAATGACTGAAATTCATATCCGTTGGTCACCAAGTCATTGATCCACTATTATATAATGATACAAATTGCAATGCACTGAAAGTGCTTAAAGAACTTAGAGATTATACTAACGTAGCCGTATGTAAAATGGAGGATAATGAGAACAAATACTCAGCACCTTATTAATGTTGCGAAAACCATTTCAATACAATCTCCGATTACTTGTGCGGAAGAAAATCTCACTACAAAACATAAAGTACACGTTCACTTTAGTCAACACTTTAAGTTAATATAAACATATTTTCTGCAAATCTGTAAACCTGAAAAGTATAGGGGTAAATAATGCTTTTCAATGAAGATTTATGAATATACCGTTCCATAAGACGTACCACGAGATGTTCTTTGTCGTTTAAATATGAAGCAATGGATTCACTTTTAGGGAATTCATTTATCTGTGTGACTGAGGAATCTGGTAACCAATCAACAAAGAAAGGACCAAGATTTCCAAGGCATCGAGGGATACGAGTGCCCAATTCTAAGGGGTTAGTGAGAGCCTTGAAAAATGATCGAAGACGTGTATGTACTGGTCCATTTCGCTGAAACTGTGGACTTTTTAAATCGACTTGAAATCCTGAACGAAAGAATGATAAAAGAGATTAGAAAGTTTGAAAACAGGTTAGTAATTATGCTTGGGTTACGTTTCAGTTATATTTTAGAAAAGTATGCGAGGGAAAAGATGGTACGTATTTTATTGAATTAAAACAAGTGAAAGATCATGGACGTGATAACCAAATCTAATATAGACGTGTTAGTTACTTTGAACACTTTTTTTAAATATTCCGACTATCACTTTTATAATAGGAATACTAAAATTCCTTAACACTAAGGTCGAAAATCCCTTTAATCAATTTTATTTTGAAATACAGTAAGTAAGCCAATCAAATTATTTAAATTGGATTTAGAGACGAGTATAGCCTATGCAAGTAAGTAAATCAGTTAAATAAAATTTTGAGGTATATCTACACTAGATTTTTCGAACATATGAAGAGCAAAGAAAACCAGTTGACAAAATAATATATCACCAAGTTGAACTGAGTGTTAGTTGAGTAGGTGAACATATGTCACTTGAGGTCGCTAAAGCCTTATGGATGCCCTAATAACTAATACCTTTAATTTGGGGAATAAAATTGACGGACGATTCAAAAGGAACCGATCAAAATATGATAATAATGGATAACACTATTGATTACAAGTTTGTGCTTATTGTTCAGACACATAAACATCGGTACAAAATGGGGCACCAGAAAATATGTGCGCCATACAAAGTAGCTATCATTCATTTTGTGTGTGGGCTAAAATACTGTCCGGGTGGCAAAGCCCAAACGGGTGGTTTTTTAAAGTCGCTCTCTGAGCCCTTGACTCAGAAATCTAATCGTCAAGGCAGTGGAGCAATGTTGGGAGATGAAGCCCCATGGTAGCCGATGACCAAGAATAAATTTATATGCCACTTGTTCCCTAAAGATTCTGGGGTCCGTATGCACCATTAGTTTGGGATTAGGGTTTTCTAACTCCCCCAAATGGATGCTCTGTAACCACCAGCTCGGTTTAATTGCTGAACGTTCGCTTTTTGTCCTTTCAAATTTGTAAACAACACCGCCGCGAGAAGGAAGTGGTCATAGACACGTAACCATATGAGAGCATTTCGAATGAGTGGGCTCTCCCCACCCTCGGTCGTACCAGGGATTTGATGGACTATTGCGTTAAAAGACGAATGTTTAACTATTTCAGCTTCCAGTTTAAAAAAAGGTCACTGAGATATTTTAGACACTCACTGCTATTTTTTGTAGATAGTTGCCTGCTTTTTAAGTGTTGATTTTAATCTAGTGCAGTGTCACGTATAATAAACTGATCAGGTAAATTGTATTGTTATACTAAATGAAGAAATACATAAAAACACTGGTCTCCGGTTGCATAAATCGTAGTAGAGGGATTGGGACCCAAATTACTGAACTGGCGAAAACTACGAAAAATTATAGTTTCTATGGAAATCTATTTAGATAGACAAAAAAGATGAATTACTTAGTATAGAATGTGTAAGGAATTTCGTCAGTGATGCGAGAAATATGACCAGGAAATACAAAAAAACTCACGATAGAAAACTTTCTTCTTTTCTTGTTTAACTTTTTTAGCGGATAATCCAAAACCAGAGTACACAACTGGAGACATGTCCAGGGTTAAAATAGCTGGAAAGTATCATAATGAATCACAAAACAAGAGTAATTTGCCTGTATAACAATTGGGTAGAAAAGGTTAGTGTTAGTTTTTTCTTCGATGTTTGAATAAGTAAAAACGAGTCTGAGAAGTATTTTTTTAAAAAGGAAGAATTTGATGAGACTATAGCTTTCAGAATATTACAACTAATGTCAAAATAAACTGGTCAGATATACAGTTAACTCGAATAACGTGAAATAGTAATAATAATGACCACTGAAAAACATATATGTGTAGTGAACGAGAATACAGGTGGTGATAACCGACTGTATCTAAATACAAAATTACAGAATCTCTTAATAAGATATGAAAGTCAGTCAGTAACAACGTAGAACTTCGTACGTACGTACATCAGTTCGAGTTGCCACACCACATTAGCACAGAGATTCAGTTGTCGATTCAAATCCCGTAGTGGTAGAGGTAATAAGAGTATAAGCAGTAATCGGGAAGATTAGGGTTTAGAGATGTTATTCAAGGAGTATAATACAGTGAAATAAATTTGGAAAGAGGAAAAAAGGGACATGAAGAATTCAGAAGATTAGAATTTCGGAGAACACAAAGAGTGGATGCACCTGCGCCACTGCAAACGATTTTGAGTCATGTCATTCAGGGTCTCTAATCATCGGTTGCTATCATCTCGCGGTCCCCAACCAGGTAGTCTGCACCTACCAACATGACTCAGTCCACTTGTCAGTGACTTCATGGACTTGTGCCATGTTTTGGTTTGGCCGCCCCTAGCTTTCTTCCAACCTACTCCTATACCACTGAACATAGCACGTCGAGGCAGTCGGTCGTTGGGCATACGTAACACGTGTCCCATCCACCTCAACTGATGAAGTTTCACTACTTCATCAATTGATTTGCCATCCTTACCTAGTACCCGATCCCTAACAACTGTGTTACTTACTCGATGGTCCCAGGATATACGAGCAATGTTTCGAAGACAACTATGATCGAATACTAGTAACCTACGTATATCCTCTACTCTTACCGGCCATGTTTCACTGCCATAAAGAAGGACGGAACGAACTGCTGCGCAGTAAACCCGTCCTTTGGTTGATAGACGGATATCTCGCCTACGCCATAAATGACGCAAGTTGGCAAAAGCTAGTCGAGCCTTCTGTATCCGTGCTGAGATTTCGTCACAAACCAGACCACAAGGGCTGATGAGACTTCCAAGATAAGTGAAGCGGTCGACACACTCAACTACTTCACTCCCTATCACTAGTTCGGGTGTCGATGTAACCCAATCCTGAAGCAACATTTTGCATTTCGAGGGAGAGAATCGCATCCCGAACATGCTTGCATTGTTGCTTAGAGTGGTCAGAAGACTCTGCATTTTGTCAGAGTCTTCGCCAAATAAAACTATGTCATCTGCATATTCTAAGTCAACAAGTGAACCTCCCGGTAGAAGTTCAACCCCTGGAAATTTAGATGAGGAGAGTGTTATCTCTAAAAGTACGTCGACCACAAAGTTGAACAAGAATGGGGAGAGTGGACAGCCCTGACGAACACCACTTGAGGTAATCAATTCTGATGACAGTTCGCCATAAGCTTTCACTCTACCAGTTGTGTTCGAGTAGAGAGCCTTTATTAGGTTAATGTACTTCTTCGGTACTTCTTTCAGTGACAAACACTGCCATAGAACCTCACGATCAACAGAGTCGAATGCCGCCTTAAGGTCGAGAAATACTACAATTGTGGGGCGTCTGAATGTGTGTCTGTGTTCTAGAACCTGACGTAGTGTGAATATCTGATCTATACAACCACGTCCAGGTCGAAAACCGGCCTGGTTTTCTCTAATCTGCTCTTCACGAGCTTTGATTAGGCGTCGAAGTATTATTGAGGCTAGTATTTTAGACACTATATTAGTCAAACTGATTCCTCTGTGATTGTCACAGGAGGACTTTTGTCCTTTCTTATAGACTGGCACAATCAGTGATTGAGACCAGTCAGATGGGATTACGTCCAGTTCCCAAATTCTACCTAAGACCTCGGTTAATCTCATTGCTAATACTGGACCATCATCCTTAAAAATCTCAGGAGTAAACCTGTCAGGGCCTGCTGCTCTTCCTCGTTTCAGATTTCCTATAGCTTTTTCAACTTCGTAAAGGGACGGAGGACCTACATTAATTTGCCATTCAGGTTGACTAGAGATCGTGGGAAACCGAAGTGTGGCTGAAGGCCAGTTGAACTGACCCCTAAAGTGTTCTGCCCATCGATCTAATCTCCTGGATTGAGAATGAATAATATGTCCATCTTTCTCTGAGATTGTTTCGCTAACGGTTGGGTTCCTAACTCCGGTTTCCTTAACGAGTCCCTCCTTGTGGGAAGGCAGCATCGCTGTCATGCTGGTTGTCCGAGGGAAACACCTTACTGCTGTCACACCTCTCTACAGTCAGCAGTATGACTTCGCCCTCAGACCTTGAGTTGCTGCTTTTAGTCTTACCGTTCACCAATCGACCTGCCTGGCATGATAGAGCCTACAGGAACATATGTTCCAGCCAATATAGCTCGGTTGGGTCATCACGATAGGCAAGCCCGACCACCGCGTCAAGGTAGCAGCTTCGGTCGGGAATAAGATATGAAAACCATACACTGAATACTCCACTTAGAAATTTTCATCCTTTGTCCTTCACAATACGTATGATTCTTCAAGTCCACGATTCCTTTCTATTTTCCCCTCGATTCTCCTCGACTCAATCTTCTCAGCCTTCTGTTGTTAGGTTTTCCACTTCCGATTGGTGTTACATACTGCTTATATTGACAGACATAAGTAGCATACATCACACCAGCCCCCACTTGAAACGGTCGTTCTGCTCGCCGTACCACCTTCTTCTTTACTAGTCTGTGCCACACTCCCTGTCAAAATGTTGATTCTGCGGTACGCTGACCTTCGTAGCTCCGTCGACCCACCGGGCCATCAAAATCCGATGTCCACATCCAATGCCTGCGCTCCAGCGAATTATGTCTGTCGACATAAGTAGCATACACTGCACATAGAATAGATTTTCACAGGTTTTATTAGATATATACAAGAAGCAGCTCCGCAAAAGTGTGCCACTGTTTAACCTGTCTATTTATTTATTTATTTTAACACATAGATATTGGTACAAGAAGGCACCAAATACATATGCGCCACACAAATCTTATTCGATATGTGCGAGGGCTGTGATACTGCCCGGGTGCCCAAACCGAAGCAGGTGGTTATCTTAGGGGGCCACTCCCCGAGCCTTTGACCTAGAGGTCTGACCCACAAGGCAGTGGAGCATCGTAAGGAGATGCAGTCCCGTGGTAGCCGGTGACCAACGATTGGTTCATACGCCATTTGTTCCCTCAGGATACTGGAGCCCATGTGCACCATCAGTTTGGGATCCGGTTAAAGCGCCGGACATTCGCTTTTCGTCCTCTCATTTTTGTAAATAACACCCCCGCCACGAGAAGGCAGTGAGTAGGACTTCTTTATTGTTAACCTGTCTGCGGACTAAGACTTTAGAAATATGCCAATCATGAGCTAACATATTTTTTGAAAAGACATAACCGTGCACTTTCTTATAATTTCGATTGAAGTGTTTAGTCTTTATGAGGACACAATTAAGGTAACTGAAATTTTTTACAAATGATAGATAATACTATGTAAGTATGAAACTCTTATGTTGCCTGCTTCGATACACTTACTCTATCTCATAGCCTTATATATTACTGTATAGCAGTTCTCTTTGTGTGTTGCTAAACGGATGTTCGGGATTTTAATAACTAAATTTTTATTGTTTTTATACATTATGAACAATTGAGAATATGCATTCATCTAATTGATTTGCATGTGCACTTGATTTAAGTCATGTTTCATGTGCGAGTACAAAATAAAATTCCTGACAAAATGTATGAGTTTTTCGTCACAGTTTTGATTATCGTTGGCTTAAGAGATACTCGTAAATCAAGGATTATCGCATTGTACTCAGAGTTGGATATACGTGACATGCCCAACAACCGTTTAATGAAGAAGGTTGGTAGACAACCGTTTGAAGACAGATACACTAAATTACTTGTAGATTCATGTATTTTGCTTTTGGCTGTTGTTTCTTACAGCAATACATAGAATAGATAGAACTGTGGATTACATACTAAAATTTAGAATATACTGGCACAACGACTGCAGCAGTTCCTGGAGTTGCACTAAAATCGCTTCATTGACCAGTATACTCAATTTAGAAACAAACCTTCATGTACTGGAAACACTCAATGGATAATTATAACAAAATAGAGTGAAGTGGTCAGAGTTTTAACGGAGTCAACACCTCATACACCCTGTTTTGGAGTTGAACTCATGAGTAGCCTTTTACTTATTCCTCTACAATCGTAACCACTATCAGATTTCCTTATTATAGCATTTGTGAATGTTCTGTATTTTCGACATTAATGGTGATTTCTTCATTAGGAACCTAAAACTTGACTAATTATTGTACTGGGTAGTAATGAGCATTGAAAACTAGAAAGCACATCTTAAATTATCCAACACTCATCAATTAAATGAGCTAGAAACACGGTAAGGGATGACTTTTTTACTGTGACTTAAATCTAGAACCTGTCGTTTATAACGTCCCAGGATTATCTTTTAAACTAATGAATAAAAACACTCATTTCTTGTTGAAAAAGTATTATTTGCCATTGGGTCTTTCAATCTATTGGTGATCTTTTTACTATTTGATTACTATGTAGAGAGCAAATTATACGGAATTATATATAACCACTGATCAGAAAAAGGTGAAGGTCAATAAATTAAATAGGATAGGAAAAGACTTACACTTTTGAATAGAAAGACCAAACTCCGACAATGGTTTTATAGGCAGAACTGTAACAGCTCCTAAAATATAACATTAAAAGATCACAGGATAGTAAAATATCCTGAAGTGAACATAAAACTTGTATTATATAGACAAATTTTCTGGGTTAAGATAATTAAAAGAAATAGTTTAGTCAGAGGATCAAAGAATATGCAGTTAATCTCTTGCCCACTTATCAAATATTAAAACAGTTCAAGTAAGAGACTGCTGTATTACGATTAATCGTTTACAACCAATTTTAACAACTTTATTTCATAGTCTCTGTTTACCTACCACCTCTTAGCCAGTAGTTACGCTATTTACATAAATTCTTCAGTTTTTTTTTATTGTCATAGAACTTCTTGCGGAAGAAAAGGACTACTGGTTCCATATTTATGTGTAGAATTGTGCAGTTAGTAAAGATAAACAGAAACAATATTTAAAAATGTATCTTGGAAATTGATGGGGAATCCGCTAACTGATCACTGAGATTTGCTTTCATCTTTAACTAAGTGACCGTTATCCGAAAATAACTTATAGTCATATCTTGACTGTAGAATTTAGTCAGTTGACAATGGGATAATTTATTTGGATCTCGAAAATAGATCGGTTTATTGAGTCAATACACCCGTAAGTAACTGATAACCTCAAACAAGTATACCTCAGTCAGTATTCGTTACTGGTTTCTTAAATAATAGGGACACTATAAAACGAATACCTTCAGATGTATGCAGATAATGCGGCGTATATTGCATGAAACTCGAATGTTACAAACGCGGACTAAAAAGAATGAGCACGACATTAGTTTAAGAGCATTTTCGAAAATGAAGCGCCATGTTATAAAAACTGTGATGAAACTAAAATATATGGTGATAATACCAAGTTTCGCGAAGTTAAATGAAATAACTAAGAGTATATTTGTTACCGTGTACTAGCAAAATGCGGGATGGCAAAAAGACGATCAATATGTGAGGATTTATGTAGGTATCGAATAGAACTTGGTGAAAGCCATAATGCTGAGTCATAAGCCAACAGACACCACTAAAATAAGAAACCACTTCAATTATTACAAATCCGTGTATGGTTATCAAAGAAAACACCAGTAGCTTTCGTCAAATTTTAGCTTGTGCATTTCAAGAACACTATCTTTAAAAGGCGTTTACCTTATAAGATGGATGAAACTAGTTAGATTATCTAACTTAGCCTCGTCTGATAACCATATAGTTTTATCAGCAATTAAAACGTGCAATGCATTCCACAGCACAGATCTATATGCACCATACTTTGACTTTCCATATCTTGTAAATTGAAAAGAAAAATCACATTAACTGATATTTTTAATATCACTAATATTACTTCTTTTTAGATTCAACATACCTCGTCGACAAAATCCTGCAATAAACTGTTCCTCCATGAGTTTAACAGGATCCAGCTGTATGATAATACTGGAATTTTTAAACTGTTCAACAAAAGTGACAAGACTTTTTGTTACACCTTCATGTTCTGTGATAAAGATAATCTGAAAATATTACACTAGTAACAAAATGGACTTTACATTTTCCAGGAGACGAACCATGTCGTGTAAAACCCGGTTCCTGACTAAAAATTTGGATGTCATGAGAAAGGCTTATGGAAATGTGAACAGAATTATTAATGACAGTTAACTTAGATGATAAAAGAACCAAGTATAAGAAAAGAGCACAACATAAGACCCTTTACTAGATACAAAAAAAAACATTAGATTTACTAGTAAACATTTATAAGATATTCAGATGGTTAAATACTGAGAATACTAGCGAAGTTCTGTTGTATTTAAGGATAAGAGGTTATCGAAACTTCTGAACTGCCTGGAGACATAGATCGCGCTAAACAACCTACTCCTGATAATTTCACACTGGACCTCGATACTTAATATAAAACTCAAGTATTTGAGATAATCCATCAATATAGGCAGTTTGAATTTCCATACCCAAATCCTTCCTAGTGGTTGATCAGTTTTGTATTGACAATATGTATTAAAAACAAATGAATGACCACCAAACGTATTCGTCATTTGCCGGACGGTTTTATTGGCAATGAAGTCACGTGTAATTTATGGTAACACGAGACTAGAGTAGTGTATATACAGTTAAATAGTTTTCTGGAAAAAAGCATGTAGGGATAGTAGCATCGTGGATGTTTTCTTGTATGTTAAATGAAGGATGTGCATGCCATGAGACCTTATCAGGACGAAATAACAACTTCACAACATCTTTCCACGTCAACTTCGAACTGTCGATGGCAGGTTGACTTGTGCTCAAGCGTCAGCACTTTAAACCCAGCTGAACTGGCATATGTATTCTTCAAAACTTGAACCATATTGAGTTTTGGAAGCGAGAATAATCCTAGGCGCTTGTATGAGTGCTTTTAGGATTTGGGAAGGATTAACTCTAGCTTGTAAAACTTCTACTGTAAACCGATGTAAAAACTTGATGTCATAGTATCTAACCACCTAAACTGGCTTGCGCGCTAATTTCACTGGCTTGCGCGCTAATTTCAAAAAGGGCAGTGATTTTTGTACTTGTTGTGATTATACTTGCTTTTGGTACTTATTGCACTAAAAAGCATTCTTGGTCTACTTTAACTAAGAGTTCTTTGGTTAAAGTTTGAAATTTTTTGCTACATTTTGTCCTGGGTACCTGTTTTTAGTCCTTGACTAAGACCTGTGTTCACATTGTTATCGTTTTTTGTTTTTAAACCTTTTAAATCGAATTACAATGGTTGGTAAGACTCACAAATGTGGGCAACCAAATTGTTTGTTCTCCGTTGATGAGGGAATGCAGTGTGACGACTGTAAAAAGTGGTATCACAAAATGTGTACACGACTAAGTCCGACGGCTTATAAAAGATGCTCGAAGCCTAACTCGCATTGGCTTTGTGTGTTCTGCTGTACGGATAAAAAGGTACTAATACAGGAGGCTATGGGCCTATTGGCTTTGGCCTGCAAGAAAAACGATGGTGGAAGCACTGATAACAGGAGTACTGACGATGAAGAATGTGTCAGTGTAGTAAGTGCTGCTACTGGACCCATTAAACACCTGACTGCGGTTGACGGGAACGTGAAATCTCCGTTGACATTAACGAGAAATGAAGTGTCGCCTGATATTGACATCGGCAGTCATACACCCCTAGTCGAAATAGAAGATCCGGATAAAACTGTCACCGTTCCACATAGTCCAGGTGTGGCTGTTCTGAGTGGTGACAAATGGACTCCGGTAAGAAGAAAAAAAATAAGAAGAAAAAGGCTGTAGGCAAAACGCAGCTGGTCAGCAAGACATTGGAAGGGACTTTATCAGAAGAAAAATCCTCACCGCGTGAAAAGACAGATCTCTCTGAGAGATCAGTCATTTTTCATAAGATAAGAGAATCTTCAGACACTGAACCAAAGGCAAGATTTGAACATGATCTCAATCATATTAAGACATCATTAAGTAAACTACTCTCAGATACAGTTTCAGGAGTTAGTATTTGTAAGCTTTATAGAATAAGAAAAAAGGTGGATTCCGAAAGTCCTCAGAAAAACCGCCTCCTAAAGGTTACATTCAACACGGTGGAAGAAAGGAACCTGGTTCTAAGTAATTCACGTAAACTGATTGGGTCCGGAATATATGTCCGTGAGGACCTCAGCCTAGCTGATCGTATTAAGAGAAGGGCTGCAGAAGCGGAAATAAACGAGCGTCGCCGAAATGGTGAAAGAAACCTCGTTCTTAAGGGTTTTCAGATTGTAAAAGTTCGGAGCAAAACGATCCCCAAGCCACTCTGGGTGGCAAGGGAAAGCTCTCCACAGACTTAAAAGTGTGCTACACAAATGCTCGCAGCCTACTAAATAAAATGGCGGAGCTGAAGTCAGTGGTGGATAAAGAAAAACCGGACGTTATCGCTGTCTCGGAAACTTGGTTAACGTCAGAAGTATTAGATAGTGAAATCCAATTAGCTGGTTTCATAACCAGTAGGGCTGATAGATTAAACCGAAGGGGAGGCGGGGTTATTGTGTACACGAAAAGTAGCCTAACCATAAGATTAGCTGAGACAGTAGCACATGTTTCAGGGACATGTGAACTGGTGAGATGTAAGTTGAAATGCCGAAGGCAAGATATTGAATTAGTTGTAGTTTATCGCAGTCCCGAATGTGTAGCAGATGATTTTCTCCTCAGTAAACTTAAGTCCTGGTGTAACAACGGTAAAAGCCTTGTAGTAGGCGACTTTAATGCACCATATATAAACTGGGTTAACTTAGAAGTAGAGTCATCTATATCGTCGTTCGACTCCAAACTGTTAGAAACCTCGATTGGACTAGCATTATTCCAACACGTTAGAGATCCCACAAGGTACGACTTAAGAAACTCTTCTTCTCTTTTAGACTTAGTCTTTACACACGGTGATGACGTTGGTCAAAAGGCTTTTCTCCCACCACTTGGGAGAAGTGACCATGCAGTCATCTTATTCAAATTCATGGCCCGTCCTAACATATGGAAGGCAGATATAGAGGCAATTAACTCCGCAGCATCGGCTGAGAACTGGGAAATTGACTCAAAGGCATCAGTACAAGAGACATGGACTCTATTCAGACAGTTATACAATCGGGTAACTCAACCATTTATACCCTGGACTGTCCCAAAGAAAAAGAAGCACGGACATCCCTGGTTAGGGCGGGATATTCGACGCTTACTAAGACATAAGAAGAAATGCTGGGATGTTGCCATCCTCCTTGGCACAGCAGGTACGATGGAACTCTACAGATCGATAAGAAACGTGTGTATAACTAAAATTCGGGAAGCGCAAAGAAAATACGAAATGCAGCTGGCAGAATCTGCACTCAAGCAGCCCAAGAGGATATTCTCGTACATAAACTACAGAACAAGGACTCATCACTGGATTCCCAACCTAATTAAAGTAGGAAGTAAATCTGAAATGATAGAGGAAGATCAGGAAAAAGCTGAGATTATGGCTGACTACTTTGGGGCAGTTTTCACTCAGGAACCTCCTCTAGAGAAAGAACCAGACCCAATTACAGAGTCAACAAACCAGCTGCTCACCGTGGACTTCGACCAAAACGATGTGCTTAAGGCTCATAGCACCCTAAACATGGAGAAGTCAACAGGACCAGATGAACTACACCCTAAAATCTTGAGACATATTGCCCAATATATCGCAGCCCCACTGACTGTGATATTCAAAATGTCACTTGACCAAGGTGTGTTACCTATTGTCTGGAAGGACGCAATCGTCACTCCCATACATAAAACAGGTCTACGACAAGTTCCATCGAATTACAGACCTGTAAGCCTCACCAGTGTTGTAATTAAAATACTGGAAAGAATAATCAAACGGACCATAACGGCATTTTTGGAAACCAATAACTTGCTGAACATGGCACAACATGGTTTTAGAAAGGGTCTATCCTGTACAACAAACCTCCTTATAGCTAGGGAGCTCTGGATTAATGCGCTAGACAACGGAAACTCAGTGGATGTTGTCTACATAGACTTCAGTAAGGCTTTTGACAAGGTGCCAACTAATAGACTGCTATTGAAGTTGGCAAACCTTGGTATTGCCGGACCTCTTTTAAAATGGATTAAGGATTTCCTAGTAGGTCGTAGGCAAAAAGTAAGAATAAATTCCAAGTGCTTCATCTGGAGACCAGTACTTAGTGGAGTACCCCAAGGTTCCGTCCTAGGTCCTTTACTTTTTATAATGTACGTTAATGATCTTACAAGTATAGTACAGTCTCCAATGTTATTATACGCTGACGATGTAAAAATTTGGCGAGTAATAACTGGTGACACAGACTCATTTACTCTTCAGGCGGACTTAAATAATATGATAAACTGGTCTAAAGAGTGGCTAATGCCTATCAACTCGGAAAAGTGTGTCTGCATGCACTTGGGGGATTCAAAGGTTAATACGTACAACATAGGGGATGTGTCATTACCCATAGTCCGGTCTCATAAGGACCTAGGGGTGACAGTGAGCAATGATCTTAAGACGACGGCCCATTGCCGGGAGGTCGCAGTTAAGGGGTTTCGAACCCTCTGGGCTTTAAAAAGGACATTCACTAAGCTTGATACTACCATGTTCACCACATTATACACATCCTTAGTGAGAACTAAGTTGGAGAACTGTGTTCAGGCTGCAAGCCCCTGTTTAAAAGGTGACTCAGACATACTAGAAAAGGTACAGAGGGCAGCTACGCGTGCAATTCCGGAATTCCGGGGTTTATCATATAAAGAGCGGCTTGAAAAACTGAACCTCTTTACTCTGTCCTATCGCAGACTAAGGGGAGATCTAATATTGATGTACAGAATACTAAGAAATGATTTCGGACCTAACTTATTCTCTCTCTTCCTTCCCACTAGATCGGGACACCTCAGAGGACATAGCAGGCGAGTAGAAAAGCCAAGAACGAACAAAATACCCCTGGCATACAGGTTTTTACACCGAGTCATCAATACTTGGAACCTGCTGCCTGAAGCAGTGGTATCCGCACCTTCAATTGACTCTTTCAAAAGAAGACTGGACACTCACAGAAGCATACTAGAAAAGAAATAACATAGGCCGTAGGCCTTCTGTCCTTACTACACAAATCTGAAACGAAATGTAGCTGTGTTAGTTCAAAAACAAATATTTTGATTGCCACATAATAGCTTCACTGATTTAGCTCTAGATTTGTGCTACTAGGACGGAAAGCATGCGGTTTATGTTAATCCTTTTCTAGTAAACTTTTGAGTGTCTAGTCTTCTCTTGAATGAGTCAATTGAAGGGGCGGACACTTCTTCGGGTAACAGGTTCCAAGAATCAATGGCTCATTGTTAAAACCTGTATTCTGTGATTATTTAGTCCGTTCTTGGCTACTATAGTCGCTTTTTATATCCTCTAAGTTGTCCGAATCCCGTAGGAAGAAAAAAGATCTAGCAGGTCCAAAATCACTTCTTATTGTTCTGTACATCAAAATCAGATGATCTCTTAGTCTGCGGCAGAACAAAGTAAAGTCTAGCTTTCCAAGCCACTATGTGTATGAGAAGCTAGACCACTTTTTCCTATTTTAGAAAAAGTGGTGATCTGATTTTGATGTATAGAATAAAAAGAAATGGTTTGATTTTGCTGAAATCGGATTACACATTTAAGTCCAAACGGTTCACAAAGCTGTATTTTACATAGTAAGATAGCTCAACTAATATGCGGGTGGAATTCGCTAGGTAAAATAGGACTCTATTAATCCTAAGGTGGCTACCGTAACACCACCCCCAAGCCCGAGTGACTTATTGAAACTTACCTCTGGCATATGAAAAGCAAATTGATGACCTTGCGCAATGTTTTCACTAACCCCGAAGAGTATTCAGGTACGGAACTTTTCAAATAAACTAGTAATAAAATTACACGAGATAAGTGTTGGCAGTGAAGCTGAAATAAACCACTGAAACTAATTATTTGTGAGTCAGATTCAGATTTGTATAGTAAGGACAGAAGGCCTACGGCCTATG